ATCTTGGCGGATTTAGTTCAAGCCGCAACATATTTGACGATAATCGTGATTTTGTCTGAGAAATGTGACCGGTGTGCTACGCACGTTGAGACGAACTTTGTGGTGGAGATTTGGAGATGCAGCCTGTTGAAGGCTATGTGAAGAAGGTGAATCAAGTTTATTTTGTCAGAAAATTCAGGCCAAGGGGGAGAATTGTTAGGTGTTTATCCTGATTTTCTTACCATGTTTGGTTTTCCTACTCTTGAAAGAAAGGACAACATGTTTACCATTATTGGGTATTCCTTCTTGTAGAATGGAAGTATAAATCTCTCATATTTGCTTAGTTCCTTTTCTTGTAGGAAAAGGTTTGGACTTCTATAAATTGAAGATCCTTCCTTCATATTCAGTAGCATCCACAATGTAGCCATATGGGGTTTGAGTGTCTTGTTTAGGGGGAGAACTTTACGGGACAAGTGTTAGTGTGTCACTTGTGTTTGCTTCTTCGTGAGGTTGTTCTCTCAGTATTTTGTACTCTCTTGTTACATAGTGGATTGCTCATCTCCGTCGTGGACGTAAGTCAGTTGACCGAACCACATTAAATGTTTCTGTCTCTTTTGTTGTCTGATTTGTCATCGTTGAAGGTTTGCTTTGCTAGCTTCCGCATGACACCTGATTTTTTCGGTCCTAACAATACTCATACTATATTTCTGCACCTTTTATGCAGATTCAGGTGTTGGAGGTTGTGGACCTAGGCAGTGTTAGCTTCTGTGATTGCGAGGATTCAAGGTAGAGCTGCTCGATCAACGTAGTCCCTTGGAGTCCTTTTTCTTTTAATTGTACTGTTAATTCTCTGCTCGAACAATATTGTATTTTATTTTGAGATATTTTTATGTATTCGGCAGAGTTCGTGGCTCTGTACTACTTATTCTTGGCAAGATTGTTGTGATTATTACCGTGTAAGCTTGTATTACATTTATTTCGGTATTTATATTAAACTCTAATTTAAAAGTATCTTGTAACTGGTTTAACTGTTGTAAGTGACCGGCTTATTTAAAGATTAGGTGTCATCACGATCTTTATGGTGGGATTTTAGGTCTTGAAAATAACTATTTATCGTTAATATGTTTGTGATAGTTTGAAGTCGAAGTAATTGGGTCAAGGTGTGTCCTAGCATGTTAGCGAAAGATCTAATCTGCCGATACGTCATACAAGTTGATTTAGAAATTCTTTATTCAAATTGTATTACTTCCTCATCCAAACAATGTACCCTACTTGAGAATAGTCATTTAATTTGATAGCATCATGTGATGTTGCCAGGTCTATGGGCCAAAATGTGAAGCAGAGCTGGTACTGTGGACCAAAGTTTACAGTACCAATGGAAGTACACAACACGAAATAAAATCTATCATCATAATTTGAATCTGCTTTGCAAACCAGAAATTAAATGAGTATATATGGCTCATAATTGATACTGGTGCTATATGTCCAATTTCTCATTTCTCAATGTCCCACATACTTTATCACAGGTATTTCGTAACCCCACGTAGTCTAGTGGCTACTATGGGACACTAACGAGCAACACAGACTTGGTTCTAATCATAATAATAGGAACTACTTCAATGGGCTCATGAAAGATCAAAGTCTCAACTTTACACAATGTTTTTCCTTGTCAATCTTTTTCATAAAAGGTTGGAAAAATTGGAACTTGTTGGTCTTTACTTTTATTTTATTACAGACAATGAATAGCATTCATGAAAAAGTTTGTTGAAGATACTTCACCCCTTTCTAAACTCTTGCGATAAAAACTGTAAAGGAGTTGATTAGTTGTACTAAAGTCCAGCTTAGTGTATAAGCTTAGTAAATAATAGACCATACAGTCAATTAGTTAAGGTAATTAGATACAAGAGGTAATTATGTCAATTCACGTGCCCCGCTGTCAATAGGTTGTTAGGAGTCAGTATACAGTGATAAATATCTGCATTAGTGTAGAAAAAAATGTATATGAACATTTGAAATATTCTAGACTATCTCTCTCTCTGCATTAATTTATCTCATTCATCTCTCATGCATGTACATGAAATTCATTATCTTTGATTAGATCAGGTGAAGTTAACATGGTATCAACGCCATAGTCAGCTGAATTTAGGGATTTCTTTACAGATTATCGAAGAAAGTCGAGAAATTCAATTGTTCGATTGTGGCATAAACCCTGATTTTTTATTAAATGACGATTTTAGAGAAAGCTATGAGTGGTACTTCCGATAATATCTCATCCAGTAGAAATGTGGTGGTTGATCACAACCATCCGCTTTATCTCTATCCTTGTGACAATCCTGATTCAATGTCGATCGTGATTTTATTGACCGGAATGGAGAACTATGGTTTGTGGAGTCAAGTTATGAAAATTTCACTACTCGAAATGAATAAGCTTTATTTCGTTGACGGTACTTCTTCTAAGGCGGATTTTGGAGCCGCAAATGTGCAATATGTGGGAACAGTGCAAATCGCCAGGGTTGAAGGAACAGTTGAGGGAATAGGTCTCTATCAGTTCCCGAGGTGAATGTACAAGTCAACTCCTCCAGGTGTAAAGTTGACAAACTTCATGAGAGAACCAGATAAGAAACCTGTTACACACTCTCAAGATTTTAAGATCGTATAACGAACTGGCTGTCTTATTTCTCTTCCACCACGACTATGCACTACATCAGTTGTAACTATACCTTTTTGATTTTGTGGTTGAACCACATCATCATCAGGAACCTGAGTCTTCATGCTATCCACAGGGATATCAACGACTTCTTCCTGTTGTGCAATCTGCTCAATATAACTCCCACTACTTTGTGGTAGTATGACTTCGGGCACTTTTTCTTGCGGGACATCATGTCTATTGACATTTCTCCCACTACTAAAATGCAATTGTATGTCAATATCAACTTCCGGGGTTTGCATCTGGTCGTTTTGTTTATCAGATGACTGAGGTTCCACTCCTTTGCTAAGTTCCTGTAAAACAAGTTTACTTCTAGGAACATGGTTCATCAAATAGTCCTCTTCAAGAAACTTGGCATTTGTGCTAACAATTACCTTCTTCTCTTTAGGACAATAGAATAAACCACCTTTCTTTCCTTTTGGATAACCTACAAACACGCATACATCCGTTCTTGCCTCCAATTTATCTGTTTTCCCTTTCAGCACATGTGCCGGACAACCCCAAACTCGAATATGCCGCAGACTAGGTTTGTGCCCAGTCCCCAATTCTGTAGGAGTCAAAGGTACTGTCACGACCCGGATTTCCCACCATCGGGATCGTGATGGCGCCTAACTCTGAGAATGCTAGGCAAGCTAATGGATACAGTTCTAGCACGTTAATAATTAACCAAAACAGTAATTAATAATAATTAAAACTAAACAGATATAAAGTGTGGAAATTTTATAACAGTTTAAAATACTAATACACAACTACCCCAAAGATTTGGTGTCACAATCGACGAACGTCTAAGAATTTCTACAAATACTGTTTTAAAGGAAATACATCTGTTTTTCGAAATGAAAGAAAACAGGAACTAAGATAGAGGGAAGGGGATTCCAGGGTCTGCGAACACCGGCAGATCTACCTTGGGTCTCCTCGTGGACTGAAGGAAGCAACCCAAACTCCGATCAGTATGGTCCAATATCGGGATCTGCACAAAAAATGCAGAGTGCAGTATTAGTACAACCGACCCCATGTACTGGTAAGTGCCGAGCCTAACCTCGACGAAGTAGTGACGAGGCTAGGACACAACAAATAACATAAACCTGTGCAGTTAAACAATATGCTAACAGAATAACAATTAATAGAAGCTAAGCAGAAATTAACGGGAAGGGGCAACATGCTATGGGGGTACCCAAAATAAAGAATCACAGCAGTAGAGGAATTTAAACAACTTGTACACTTTGAACCAGAAATAGCGGGTAAACACAGCAAACGGAAAATGCACGGCATCACCCTTCGTGCTTTTACTCTCAATCCTCACCATGTAATCAATAATAGAAACGTGCACGGCATCACCCTTCGTGCTTTACCACTCAAACTCACTATAATCAATAATAGAAACATGTACGACATCACCCTTCGTACTTTACCACTCAACCTCACCATATGAATAATAGAAATGTGCATGGCATCACCCTTCGTTCTTTTTGTGATGACCCGGCCGGTTGTCTCATGAGTTACCGCTCCATTTCCCCATTTATGCTTCTATTTGCCTTAATTAGTGGTTTCAAATGTGATCGGTTTGGTTGGCTCGGGTTCGAAAAGGTTTCGAGAAGGTTTGAGACACCTAGTCTCTTTTAAGAAGGCTTGAGTTATAAAAGTCAACCGGATGTTGACTTATGCGTTAGAGGGCTCGGATGTGAGTTTCGATGGTTCGATTTGCTTCGGGAAGTGACTTGTGACTTAGGAGTGTGATCGTAATGTGTTTTGGAGGTCCGGAGTAGATTTAGGCTTGAATTGGCGAAATTGAGTTTTTGGTGTTTCCGGTTGATAGGTGAGATTTTGATATAGGGATCGGAATAGAATTTCGAGAGTTGCAGTAGCTTCGTTGTGTCATGTGGGATGTGTGTGCAAAATTTCAGGTCAGTCGGACGTGGTTTGGTTGGGTTTTTGATCAAAAGCGGAATTCGGAAGTTTTTAGAAACTTAGGCTTGAATCCGATGTGTTTTTGGCGATTTGATGTTGTTTGAAGTATTTTGATGATTGGAAAAAGTTTTAATAAGTATTAGTATATATTGGTACTCTTGGTTGAGGTCCCGAGGGCCTCGGGTGAGTTTCGGGTGGCCAATCGGATCATTTTGAAGTTAAGAAAGTTGCAGATTTTGAGTTCCAGCAGTTGCAGTCATTTTGGTCTTCGCGTTCGCGAAGGGTCAGGAAGGGAGGCGTCAGGTTTGGCCTTCGCATTCGCGAAGGGGAGTCCCGCGTTCGTGAAGGGCCGGGATTGAAAGAATCGCGTTTGCGGGAGGCTTGGATGCGTTCGCGTAGGTTTGTGAGGTGAGGCATCGCATTCGCGATGGTGGGGTCGCGTTCGCGAAGAAGAGTTTTGGTCAGCGGAATTTTTGTGCTTCGCGAACGCGAGGCTTTGACCACGTTCGCGATGAAGGAATTTTAATAGCTGGGCAGAATGTTTTAAAGACCGGTTCCGCGACTTTGAACCCCTATACACTATTTTAGAACGGGAAATAGAGCTTTGAGGTGATTTGGAAGTGAGGAAATCATTGTTCTTCATTGAGGTAAGGATTTTGGACCCTAAAACTTGATTATTTGTGACTAAGTAACGAAAATATCAGTGTAAATTCATGAAAATCAGTAGAAAAAGGTGGAGTTAGGGCTTGAGATTATGAGACCTTTCAGGGATGATTTGAGGGGTCAAACGAACTCCGATTTTCGAGTTCTTTATATGTACGGACTCGTGAGATGATGAAGAACATTTTGGTATACAGTTTTTCCAGTTCCGGGACGCGAGCCCGCGGGTCGGGTTTTGACCGATTTCGGGTTTTGTGCTTAAAATCGATATTTTTCAATTGGAATTTATTCATTTAGCATAATTTAATGATAAAAATCTGAACTTGGTAGATTTGGAGCATTCGGAAGTCGTTTCGAAGGGCAAAGGCATTGCAAGCTAGATTTCGGTCCGGATTGAGGTGAGTAATAATTTTAAATGCTATCCTGAGGGTATGAAACCCCGGAATTTCACAGTGTATGGCTATGTTGAGGTGACTTACACGCTAGATGATGAGCGTGGGGTAGAGCGCCGCTGGGGATTGTGACTTAGTCCATCCCGAATGATTATTTTACTGCGTATTTGATAGTTAATTGTATGATATTATTATATTTTGGGCTAAATGCCATATGTGGGATTCGTGCCAACTGTTTGAACCCTTAGGGAATTTTTAAATGATATTTTCCTCACTGATTGATTTCATACTGGTGCTCAGTCATACTATATTTTACTATTTTAAAGACTCAGTTGTATTATTCTGTTTTAAACACACTAAATGATATTTTCAAAGGTAATTGAGCTGAGCTTCATATTTTACTGTGGCCCGAGGGGCTTATGAGATTCTGACTGAGTAAGGCCAAGGGCCGCTGTTGTGAGGATACATTTGGGTCGGACTGCACGCTACAGCAGTGATATACTGATTATGATAATAAGGCCGAGGGCCTGAGATTGTACGCAACGAGGTGGCTTGATATTGATATGAGGCCGAGAGCCTGTTTATGATGCCACGAGATGGCCTGATATGGCGCTTGGGCCGTAAGGGGCCCCTCCCGGAGTCTGTACACCTCCAGTAAGCGCGGGTACCCATTGTGATATGAGATATAGCCCGAGGGGCTGGTATGGTTCTGTGATATTGCCCGAGGGGATGATTCTATTGTTACTGTACCTGAGGGGCAGTTATATGTATTTACTTTTTTTAGTTGTCTTTCCTGTATGTTGTTTAACTGTTTAAAAGATGTTATGAGATTTCACTGCTTTATTATAATTACTGATTTGTTATGCCTCTTGTAGCTTAATGTTGTGCCTTACGTGGTTTATATTACTCAGTCTTCATTTATTTTTATTACTCACTGAGTTGGAAGTACTCACTTTACTCCTTGCACCCCTGTATGCAGATTCGGGCGCTACAAGTCCTGCTCCTGCAGGTTGATAGTTCCAGCAGGTCTTCGGAGATTTACTAGGTAGCTGCTTGGCGATTCGCAGCCCAGTGCATTCTCCCTCTATTTCAGTTTCTTTTGATTCAGTTACGTAGTAGTGGATTAGACTCTAGACTCTTAGTATGGTTTTAGATGCTCATGATCGATGACACCACGATGTAGGGCTGTGTTGGTTTATTTTATTTTCGCAACTTATATTGCTATTTTTGGGATTTATTTATATTAGAGACCTTGTTTTATTATATTAACTGCTTAAAGTGAATTGGAAGTGTGTCGGCTGGCCTTGTCTTTACGAGAGGCGCCATCACGACTGGGTGTGGGTTTAGGGTCGTGACAAGTTGGTATCAGAGCCTAGGTTACATCGGTCTCACGAGTCATGAGCAGGTCTAGTAGAGTCTCGCGGATCGATACGGAGATGTCTGTATTTATCTTCGAGAGGCTGCAGAACTTTTTGGAAAATTCCATATTCTTGAAATCCTTGTCGTGCGAAGTTGTTGATCGGAATACTAAACTTCTTTTATCATATTCTCTCACAGATGGTGAGGACACTCTCTACCGGTCAGGACGGACGGCCACCAGTACCACAAGCGGGAGCCACTAGAGGCCGAGGAAGTGGCCGAGGACGTGGTAGGGGCAGAGGTACAGCCCCCCCCCCCAGCAGTTGGGACAGCACCTGCAGACCCACCAGCCGCCCTAGTTCAGAGTCTGGTCCCAGTGGTGGACGCTCACCAGCACCAGCTCAGGCACCAGCTATGCCCTTGTGATTCCGGGTCTTCAGGAGACTCTGGCTCAGATATTGACAGTATGCACCAGCCTTGCTCAGGCGGTCGCGGTTTCTAATGCCGCAGCTACTTCTCAGGCAGGGGGAGGCTCTCAGACTCCTGCCGCCCGTACACCCGATCCGGTGGTTCAGGGAGTGCAGACATCGGAGGCACCACTAGCCCAACCGGTGGCAGCTGTTCAGGGCTATGTGGCTCCTGTTATGCCGGAGGATGAGCAGCGTAGATTAGAGAGGTTTGGCAGACTCCAGCCTCCTACTTTTAGTGGTGCAGAGGGCGAGGATGCCTAGGGTTGCTAAGACAGATGTCAGCAGATTCTTCGCACTGCGGGTATTCTGGAGACCGGCGGGGTTGCATTTACTACTTTCAGTTTACCAGAGCTGCCTTCACTTGGTTGGAGGCATATGAGCGGCATAGGCCTGCTGGTTCGGCACCTCTGACTTGGCAGCAGTTCTCCGCTCTATTTTTGGAGAAGTATGTTCCACAGTCCCGCAGGGAGGAGATGCGTAGGCAGTTGGAGCAGTTGAGATAGGGGGATATAACGGTTACTCAGTACGAGATGAGGTTCTCAGAGTCAGCTCGACATGCTATTTGGCTGGTTGCTACTGAGAGGGAGAGGATCAGGAGGTTTATTGATGGCCTCACCTACCAGCTTCGGGTTCTCATGACCAGGGAGGGTGTCAGGTGCTACATTCGAGGAGGTTGTGGATATTGCTCCAGAGATTGAGTCAGTCCGTCACCAGGAGCGCAAGGTGTGGGAGG